GCAGCCCTCCTTCAGAACACCCACCGAAAAGCTCTCTGTTCCTCTCCGATTTCCCCACCGAGGTGAGCGTGCGCCACCGCGGAGGAAGGGCGAAGGTCCACCCGGCTCCGCCGCGCTCCAACTCCCGCAGGTAAGCCAAGGAGGAACAGACTCTAAAATGGGTTTCCTTGCAAGTCTAGTTATCCGCTCGTCTAGGGCTCCGCCTTCCGGGTCCCAACCAGGCTCCTTCTGAAAAAGAAAACCTTTCACTTGGAAATGAAAGGCTGCTTTCCTACCGTGTGACAGCAGAGCACAGCCAGCCCTCGTAGCTAAAATCCAAAGCAAACTCCCACCTAGCTGCAGCCCCTGTGAGAGGACACCTGCCCCTCCAGCTTCCTGGGCCAGAGGAGGCGAGGAACAGTGTCCGGGGCAGGAAAAGCGACACCTCGACTTTGCTTTTTACTGTAAGAGGCTGGAATTGCTCAAATAAAATGTTTATACAAGTAAAACAGAAGCGACAAAGAAATATACACCTTGGAATCTGTAAAGCTTCAGACTAAGTCAGGCCTTGCAGGTGTGGGCTATTCATAGGGGTTTCCTTTAGCAAAAAAAGGATGTAACAGTCATACTTAAAAAAAAACACCCAAAGGGAAGAGCACTGCAAAGAGCCCTGTGGCACAGGCGTCTCGGAGGAATGAAATGGCTCTAGAGTAGTGAGGAAGCGACTGCCTTATGGGGCCTTCACCAGACAATTAAAATCCTCAGCTGAGCAACTGTTAAAAGCCAGCAACGCCGGACGCAGACAAGGAGCGGAGAACAGGACAGCCAGCAGCACCGAGACGAGGCCACCCCGGGGAAAGCCACGCGGGAGGAAAGGTGCCCGGCCAGGAGGCACGGTGAAGGAAGCGCACAAACAAGCACCCGGGAACGTCACGCCGGTTCGGGTAACCGCTTGGTTTCTTTACGTTTCTGAACTCCAGGCTCGCGCTGCTTTGGTAAGGAGGAGCGAGAAAGCAACGTGCGTCACCTGAAAGCCCCCCGCAAAAAAACCCCAAACCAAGCGAAACGAAACCAAGAGCTTTAGAAGGCGGGACCGAGTTTGGAAAAATGCATCTGTTCTGGCTTTTGCGAGTGGAATGTGATTCTTGTTCACGGGCTAATACACAGAGCACAATCCCTACGGCCGGGACCGGTGAGGCAGGAGCTGTGCGCGGGCTGTCGGACAGGCTACGGGGGTTCTAGGACAACCACAGAGCAACAAGACATGAGAGGGGCACAGAGTGACAGTCCTGTTCTCGGTTTAAATGAGGAATGGTTTAAAAGTAAAACTCTTCTCCAGCTAACTTCCTCCTGCAGTAAAACCAACCAAGCCGGCCCTCGTACGTACGAGACCAGTCGAACATCAGCCTTCCCCCTCAAAACACTAGGTACGAACATCCGGTAACATTCTACAATGGAAAGTGCTTTAAGAAAGAAGGATTCTGTAGTGCCAGTGACAGAACTGATCTGATGGGCTGGATGGTGCTGCTGTTAACGCCGACGTCAGCTACTCAGGCCAGGGCAGCTCGTTTCTCCTCGGGGGTCTCCTCCAGCAGCTGCATGATCAGTTCGTGGAGGGGTTTGCAGATCTTTGCGTAGCCCCCTCCCGTCAGGTGCAGGAAGTCGAACATGTCGTGGTACGAGATGGTGCCGTCCGAGTGCACGAAGCCGACGTCCACGTCCAGCAGCTGGACGTTGGGCAGCTTGGGGAGCGAGGCTTTCAGCAGGTTGTTCACCTTGGCGTTCTTCTGCCGCAGCGGGTTTGGCTTCTCCCCACGAGGTAGCAGGCCCTGGCACAAGAAGGAGGCAGAAAAGAGTTTCAGACGGCTCACAGGGTGCGCTGACCCCTGCTCTCCCTTCCAACTCAGGCCGCCTTTGATGACTGAAGGTGCCTGCGACAAGGGGCGTTGTCCCTCAAATCAGCCTTTGTACAGCGAGACCGCCTTTAAGGAGCCAGGTGAGCTATAAGCAGAGCTGGCAAAGCCCCTGCTTCCTTTTTATTTTCTTTTTTTTTTAAATCTCTCAGTTTGTGTGCTCTCTCTAGAAGCTTTCAGCGAGGTACCGAATGCCCCTGCCCAGCTTCTCAAGAGCGGTGCCAGCCAGAGTTGCCAGGGAAGCCAACTAGGGTCTCCAGAGCCAGCTCCGACTGGGCACTGGTCCTCCCCTCCCGGGACTGTTTCAGCAGCTTTTCGGAGCGGGACAGCCACACCGTCCCTGGTGGGGCCGAAAGGACGACTTCTGCAAAGGCAAGGGACCGAGGGGAGCAGAAGACTGATAAAGCGACCGCCCTCCCTGGTAAGGATCGGGAACTCCCGGTACCGCGGAGGCGCGGCACAGAGAGCACGGGGCCTCCTCAGAGCCCTTTGTTTTCCCAGGGACGTACCAGCACGATCACTTTGGCCTGTGGCTGCTGGGCATTTATCAGGCGCACGATAGCCTCAATTCCACCTGCTACTTCTTCTGCCGTGTTTTCGTGATTATTTGTTCCAACCCAAAGAACAATGACCTACGAGGAGAGAAAACGTTTGCAGCTTTTCCAGGACAAGTCGTCACAGGTGTGCCGACCCTGACAGCCCTGCGTGAACATCATCTGCCAGCAGCGAGCGACGCAGGGAGCCAGGCTTGAGGCTCATCTCGGACCACTGGAGGCCCTTGGCTGTTGGCTACGCCAACTGCTGAAGGACACCCCATGAGCTTCTGTTTTGGGCTGCAGTACAGATGAAGAACTGGTGCTACAGAACCTCTTCTGGACAGCCTGAGAGCAGAGCCCCGCGCACGCCCAACTACACCGAGCTGGGGCAAATCGCAGGCCCGGTCACTGTTTTCCCTCGCATTAGGTCCCCTCCGTTCACCGACGCCACCCTCCAACGCGCACGCTCGGCAGCACAAGCCCCGCGTACGAGACGTACAGCTCCGCTCCCAAACACCTCGGGTTTAGCCGGACACTACTCGACACCCAACGCGCAGCCAGTGCCAACAGCTGCTCAAATACAAAGCTCTGTAAAGAGCAGGAGCTCGCTCGGTTCTGCGCCATGCGAGCACTGAAGTCTCTTCCAAGCCAGTGCAGGGCTGCCTGGTTGGGTTTTCTGCTTATACCTTCGGTTTAATGTTCTCCAGTTCACCGTTCTTCAGTCTCCACAGAACGTGTCCTGTGGTGTCTCCACCAATCCCAAAATTCAGTGCATGAAGGGGTGAGAAGAGCTCTCGCCAAATCTGCAAAGAGAAACCAATTTGCTCATTCAAAGCAGCGGCCCGGTCACAAAAGAAAGACACCCATGGCCACCCGCATGCTATACGGTGAACCGCCACACCAGATACACCCACAGAGAATTCTGAGGGGATCTGGAATCTGAGGTCTGGGGCACGAGTGACAGGTTGTGGCTGTGGGTCAGAACAGGGGCTTTAGTAACGGCTTCCGAGACAGGCTGCGAAGGGCGTGCAGAGCCAAATGGGCAAGCGCTGGGAAGTAGGGAAGCAGGGCAGAACAACCCCGAAGGGACGGCAGGAAAATCGGAACAGAAGAGTCTGTCAGTATTACACGTGAGTGAGAAACCCTCCAGTTCCCATAACCCCACCGCTCTCTTGTCTTCAGCGATACCTCGTACTGCTGCAGCAACTGCACCATGGAGTCACCCACGAAGAGCACGTCAGGCTCCTTGTCTTTGCAGTCCAAGACGAACCTATTGTGCTGGTGAAAGAAAGCAGCAAGGTGAGCTCCGGCTGACAGCTCCTATTTGCTGTCTGCGCTGCAGGACAGAGAGGGACAGCTGCCCAGCCACTCTCCTCTGCTGCCGAGCCACTCCCTCCGACACCCTTCTTGCTGACCCGTGACCCGCTGCACACTCCTTCCCCCTACGCAAACCACGGCAACAACGTTGCTTCTGGAGCTGCCTGCGAGCACCTCCGGGTCAGAACTCTGGCCAGATGAGACCCGTGCAGCCCACCAGCGGAAAGCACTGAACATCGCACGGCCCCGGCCTTACCTGCGACATCCACCTGTCGTCTCCCTGAATATCTTCGGCGGCGTGCGGAACTGCTGCTGGGTTGGACTCCCCGTGGCTCATCTTGTTCCTGCGGAGAGAACAGTTCAGGAGAATTACTTCCAGCAGCTAGCACAGCGTGCAGGCAGCGGGGAGAAAGGGGAGCTGGGGAGAAAGCCCTGCGAGACAACTCCTGCTGCCTTCTGACTGACACCAAAACACACTCTGGCCCACGCGTGACTGCTGAACTGGCTGCAC